ATAGAATAATTCGTGATTAATACAACTTTTTTTTTTTTCATTTTAAGGGTAAAATGTAGTAGCCAAGTTTTGAACATTACGCACATTTTGTACATGGCGTACACCTTGTACATGGCGAAGTTGTTTGGAACATTGTTGTTACTTTCCTCCTTCGCTTATTTACGGTGTATTTTTTTTATTTTTTTACTCTCAATATTGCTTTTGAAATAATAACTTATTCAAATTTTTTTTATTTTAGAAGTTTGCTTTGAATTGAATTAGTTAATAAAATACATTTGCTCAGATAGAAGAGGGGTTCTGAAAGATTATTACAAAACTATTCTTAAATATTGCAAAGTATTTTAACACTTATTTATACATTTTTTCATCCTTCGGATCCTTTTATCATTCGGATCCTTTTAAGTTAAAATCGTCTGGTCATTTTTAATTAGAAAAATTTAAAATACTAGCAGTGGTATTAAAGTTGGTTAACCTTATCATCGGAAATGTAATGCTTAAATAAAATCGGAAAGTTTAAAATAGTAGAGCAGATTTTTTTCAAAAGCGATGCAGCTTTTGTTTATTACAAAATTCTATTTCATGTTTCGATTTCTTGACTTGTGTAAAGTCAATTCGTATAAATGTTTTCCAAAATTTCAAATACCTGCAAAATATAAATCAATAATTTATATAAGATTATATAAGATGCAGTACTATTTTAAAATCTATGTTAGATTAAAATTTAAATACGTTTTTTATGTAACTCAATATAATAAATCGATTTAAAAAAATTATTATGCAGGGCTGTTACAAAATGATGTTCTCAAAATCACTGCATCAAATTGATTAATAAAGTTGAGTTGGATCAAATTGAGTTTAGTTTCAAAATTTTATCGAAAAATGCATTCTTACCATTTTTAAAGTCATTCAAAAATTAAAATTTTCGTAATTTTGTTAAAATGTAACAATTTGTTACAGTTTATACAAAATAAAAATAATAAATTTCTGAAGCAATTTTTACTCTAGCAAAGTCTTGTTTAAAAAATGAGCCAGCATTTAACTGTTTCGCAAATCGTCCTCAGTAATTTCGCTAATCTAAACGCTTTTGACATTCCTCCATTGCCTTTATAAATACAAAACACGAATCTACCATATAAAAAAATTTTTAAAAAAGAACTCATCTCAACTGTTACACGACGTCCTGCTTTCTCAGCCAAAATAGCCGAAGGAGTGGGAGCACGTGACAGAGGGGACTCTGATGCTTCAGATAAAGAGAGATGGAGAAGTATAACAGTGGGATTGATTGACTTCTATTCCAACTCTATGGACAAGATAAGGCGCAAAATACTCATTTTTACATTTAATTTTAACGCAAACGAAATTTTAAATTAACATGAAAATATTATCCGGTACGCCCCGACAGCAGTGCAGACGAAAAATATCCTCAGTGGTACATGGGTTAGAGTCCCCTTGCCGTCACGCTACCCGTGGAAGTTTGGAAGTTATTCGTGGTTTTTCTCGCCGTGTAACGCTAATAGGGGTTAGTTACATCGAAAAGTCTTCCAAAAAGATAAATTTCGCTTAATACTTGATCAAGGAGTCCTCTTGTCTTCTGGATAGAGTTCAAAATTACAAAGCTACGTAATTACAAAGTTGAAAATTAGTAGTCGTAAATTTAAACTTGAGTCGACAGTTATAAAGTAAAATAAAATATCTCTAAGTGACCATCTTTGACCTTCGTGAAAAACCGTAAATGTGTTATATTCTGAGATGGGTCACAACTTGTTAACTGTCTTGCAACAGGACTTTCTTAGAGCCCTAATAAATGCAATTGTTGCAAATTGTTGTGTAAACCTAAGGTTTAACACAAACCCTTGCCAAGATGATCCAAGCAGAAAAATCTATTGGATTCAAACCTGGTTAGTAAGTTGACCTTTATTGTGCTATAAAATGCTAAAAAATAGAACTCTGTGCCGTTTTTGAGTGTCTAGAGAATTATGCAGAAAAAATATATTTTTGATTTCCAAAGATTTTTATGACCAAGGACCCTTTACTCATTCCAAAATGAGTTTTCAATAAATCGCGATAAAAAAAATACTTGGTATTAAACTTTGCCCAAAAATGTGCAATCGAGATGAATTTCAGTGCATTCTGCGAGTTTAAAATAACATAGACAGCATCATTTGACTTTTTTCTTTACTTCTTTTCAAAAATATGAAAAAAATTATTAATTTATTCATTAAGTAATCTAATATTACGTTAAGTATTCGCAGAAACTAAAACAATCATCTCAGGTATTTGTGATGCATGTTTTTGTATAATATAATTCGCTTGATATACGTATATATACGTATAAGCGAAAACTTCTATTGCATAAAGACATTCAAAACTTTAGGTTTAAAAAAAAAAGATAAAAATGGCTAAGAGCGGAAAGAAAATTTCATACAATTCAATAAGCTTGGGCTGCTGGTTTTATGCATACAAAAATTTCTTCTTNTTTTTTTTTTTTTTTTTTTTTTTTTTTTTTTTTTTTTTTTTTTTTTCTTTTCGAGAACATCGGGCTTGCAAATTGCTTTCATCTAAAAACTGGATAAAAATTGTGAAACCTTTTCTCAAAAGCTTTAGAACAAAGGAATAAAAAGGAACTATATTCAATGTTTGCCTGAGGGAAAACTTCCACTTTAAGCATAGAAAACCACATTTTTCCTCATCAGGATTTGGTAAACTATTTACTTTATTAGGATGACTTACAGATTTTTTTTCTTCTGTTAAAATAGTTAAATAAAATCGTTCGATATTGCGTCAACCTCATTAAAGTGTTAAAATGAACCATACTTCTATTCATCAGAGAAAAGGTAATGTTTATGCTTAGTTTCCAAATTTCATTTCGGTTTTGATTTTAAGGCAATTTAAAAAGGGATCTATCTAAAAAATACAATAAATAGCAAAAAACACATCAACAAGATCACTGCTTAAATTAACACATTTAGAGTATCAGTTTTTATTGCTGTTAATTAAATACCAGGCATACTAAAAATTAAAACTTAGAAATCACTAAATTTTAAAATAAGTTATTAAAATAACTTGCAGCATTTTGCTCAGTAAAGGAGTGCTTTATCGCTACAAGTTTAAAAATTCGTTACAAAGTTCTACAACAGATGGCGCTGCAGACTATGATAAATTGTAAGACAATATTTTCTGTTGCATATCAAACCAGTCCAACTTGAAATTTTTGTACTAGGTTTGTCCTCAGACTGCGCAATAATGCCCCCACAAGTGGTGGTGCTTATGGAAGCGTTTTTTATCATTAGCTACTCTTCAGCTCCTTAAAGTAGTAATAGCACCTTATACTCTCACTACTCTAAAGTCAGCACTCTGAAACGTAGCGAGAATAAAAATCTGGTTTCCTAGGTAGAACGCAGCAAAACAAACATTTCTAAGTTCTTTCATTTTATATTGGTTAAAAAAAAAATAATTGAAATAATTCCAGGAACGTGAAGAAAATGTCTCTACCACAACATTGTCTAAACACAAAAATACGCAATAATATAAGCTCGTTAAAAATACAAAAATTGTGAAATTATTTCAATTATTTTTTTTTAATTTAAAAAAAACTACAATATGTACAATTTTTCTTTTCTTTTTTGATTTCTAATTAAGTAGACAAATAAAGCATCAAAAAAATTACTTATTTTACTTTAATTTCGATACATTTTATCTTTGATACCAATACCGCCTAAAAATATTTGTGTACGAAGAAATATAAAGAGCAAATTTGTTGCAATTCCATTACAGTGCAATGTAAACCACTTTTAAATGCATAATTAACACTCATATTAGAAAGCGTTCAACTCAAGTTCTCTTGTTCACAAAAAAAAGTTAAGTGTAACGTAAAGTAGAACTTAAAACCTAGTTGAGTGAGTTAAAAATCAAAGTTCTTATTATTCGAAGCACCGAAATAAAATTGTTTTTTTGTATAGGAGTATGGTTTAATTTCAAACTATGTATTAAAGTTGAAGCAAGTTAAATTAATCTAGAAAAATTAGCTCCAAAAAAAATCGTGCTTGGAAAAATTTATGGAAGACTGCATATTGTTTTAATCACATTGTTTGCCTCTTAACGAAATGGTTCCAAGTTTGTTACTCTGTATCTAGTGAGTGGTAACAAAAAAATTAGATCATAAAATTCTGGATAGATTGAGTACCGAGAAATATTGTATTATTTAAAAAATAAGCATTTATATTAATATAAAAATATAGTCATTTTTCTAACTTTTTCTTAAAAAATAAATCCTTTGTTTTTATAACAGAATAACTTAAAAATCTACTCATTTTCACAATTTTAAACTATTGTTCCGTGTAACAGTATTAATATCAAAATGTAAAAAGAATTAACGACTGGGAAAAATGCATGTTAACATTGATTTAAAAAGAAAAATAAATAAATAAATAGCAGGAAAAACAATTAAGTACAAATGAGAACATTTTTTCCTTAGGTGATAAGTCATACGCTAAACAACAGGAATGACTGAAGACAAGAAAATGAATTGTCTACTTGCAGATATAATTTGTAAAAATACTATCGGTTGTGATTTCGGCAATGTTAAATTTAAAAGTAGTAATTGTGTAATTCCAATAAAGTCTTATGTGCTCTGTCAGAATCCATGATGAAAAAGTAGAAATCAATCCGGAGGCAGTTTTCCATCGAATTGCTTTACACAAGAAGAAATTCTTCGAATTTGAATTGGCTCTGTCCTTGGAAGTAAAAATTTGAAAGTTGATATTTTTTTCATTTGTTTATTTCATTTAATTTGATCAAATCGAAAAACCTATCTTTGTGATTGATGATTTCAGTCTTCATAGGAACTGGAAACTTAAAGAGAAATTTTCTAAAATTCTTTTTGGTGTGTAGCATATGTAAAAAAGGTTCATGGTACAGCATCAATAAAAGGAAAATTGCGTATCCAAGGAAAATCTCATAAAAGTCAAAGAATTTTAATATAAGGAATAAGGACAAACAAGCAAAGTAAAAAATTATTTATTAACATCACAGAAATAATTTGTTTTCTTATTACATCAATCACTCTTGGTGCAAACATTTTCCAAAAAGGATGTCATACATCAAGAAAACAATTTATGTCAGCATAGTTTTTTAAAACAATTTTTCACAATATGTCAATAATCATTTTTTTAACGAGGGTAAAATTTCAATAACTAAAAATTCAACATGCATGTAAAGAGGTGTGATTTTAGAAGAAAAACAATTTTCAGATACTTAAATAACTTTTATATCAAATTGATATTTTCCAAAACATTTAAATTTTACTTAAACTTACTCAATTGAACTCAAATAATTTCTACTGACATAAAACATTAGACTTAATTACAAAAAAGTTAAGATTTTATATGTTTTTTAAAGGTAACCATATAAATTTTAAACACAAAATATCAGAATTTTAATGAAACTATTTATAAATAACAAAAATCAAATATTATTTATTTGAATTTGATTATTAAAATTTTTGATTATTAATAACAATATAAAACGTCATGTTTCAGGTCTAAGCATATCTAGATAATGAGTACTAAACATTATGATTGTGCCACCTCTTGATTAAGCCATTCTAATTCATTTCATTACTAGAAAGAAAAAAAAACCTTTATTTAATATATTTCAAAAAAAAATAAATACTAACAAATTTAAACTTGTAACCAATAACTAAATAGAATTAACTACTTCACATCAAAATTAAGCTAAATTTATTGCAACTAAAACAAAAAATAAATAAATGAAGCTTTATAAGACATATACACAGGGGTGATTGTGAGCCCAAGTCAAAATTCCGGAAAATTTCCTGAATTTGAAAGAAAAAAAAAAAACAGTTTAAATTGAAAAATTAGAAAAAAAATTAAACAAGGTTTTTTTTTCCTTTTTCTCAATATTTCTTAGTTTACTAAAAATATATTTAAAATTTTACACATACCTATGATGACCTGGAGAAGTAATTAAAATCTACAAATATGTCTTCTTTTTTTTTGAGTTTATGATTATAACAACTATTTAGTGATAAAAAATGAATATTAATCATGAATATTAGCTTATAAAGTATCTCTGTGGCTCTCCCTTACAAACAAATTAAATAAACTGTGTTTTTAAGTTCTACCTTTAAAAATTTGATTTCCGGAAACTTAAGTGACCAAGGATTTTTTGAAACATCTGGACTTTCGATCTCCGGAAACTTCCGGATCACTGTTAGCGAAAAATCCGGAAATCAGGATTTTTTCCGGAGCACAATCAGCCCTGTATACAGTCAACACTCCTTTATATGACCTCTCATTATAGCCACTCTTTATTATAAAGATATACACATAAATTCAAATTTATTGTAATTCAATGTTATTTTAATGCTGATTAGAAAGTAAGTAGTGAGTGATATACGAGAGAAATTCCAATATAAATATAGAAATTAAGTTTCATTTCTTTAATACCCATGATAATCCCATCAAAAACTAAATATCAAAAATTTTTGCGCTCCCAAAACCAAAGGCTTCCATTAATAATGGATCATATGATTTAGCAATAGTTTCGATATGGATTAGCTATTCATTTTTAAATATCTCACATTAAGTTAGAAACATTTTAAAATCCCTTTAAATGAAGGAAAAGTGACATGAGCCCCTAAATTCTCATTCTAGGTTGTCATGATCTTTAATCACAAACGTTAGTGAAATCTAAATTACTTCCCATTGATAAACTAAAGCGTATATTGCAACGTCACACGACAATTAGATTTAACAGATTGGTGGTTTTGAAATTTTTAATTACTCCGCTTTGTTCCACTGTTTACACTTTTTTTATACAACTTTGGCTCAGGCAAATTCTCCATTATCGAAATTGAGAAAATAGTAAATTTTTTCTCCTATTTTATTCTAGATAAATGGGTGTTTCAGCATAAAAATAATTTGAGGCTTCTTCTATGTACAGGACTGTTAGAAAACAGAAAATGGGGTTAGATTTTTCACGTATACAAGCATTTGGGAGAATAAATTAATTATGACTTTCTGCGGATGTAACCACCATTGGGTTAAATCCCATTTACAATCACTAGGAGGTTGCTTCTAAAACCATTATTAATTTCTTTTCGAAAAGGTACAATAAATTGATCAAACATAACTTTCTCTCTTTTTGAGTAATTTTAGTCCCTTTGGGAGATTTTTTTTCAGTTAAAATATGTGTTACTAACATCTCATCTGCTGGATTAAGATTGTTTTAAACTTTGAACGTATGTTATTTATAGAGAGCGGCCGCCAAGTGAAAAAAAAATTATTTAATTTATCAATCATGCATTATTTCAAATGGGATTTTTATACATATATAAACATAAATAAGGTTGAGCATTATTTTATTAGCTTTACAATTCTCATTAAAGCATAGCAATATTTATCCAAAATTAGCATTTTTAGGTATGAGTATGGTATTTTTCTTTATTCATGTTATAACATCAATTTTTGTGTGAATGGCAAAGGGTCATTACATTGAGTATGGACTGCGTAAAGTTACACTATTGGATTTAATTTAAGGATATATTTCAATAAATAAAGCTATCAAATTGTTTTGGCACATGAAAAATGTTAATACAAATATTTTTAAAAAAAAAAGATCAAGATATATTTAAATACCTACAGAGAGCAATTTAAGATAGATTAAACTTTGTACTATAATTAGTATATTGAGCCAAAACAAAAAGCTCATGTCTACACTCTCTTCTACAACATAAGAAGTAAATATAGATAATAATGTAACATGTAAATAAAAATATATATTATAACATTGCATTGAAATATACAGAATCATTATATCTGTCCTCACTGGGTATTTATATACATTGAATGCCAATATTAAAAAATTCAGATATGCATAAAAATTCAACAAGTTAAAGAATGAAAAAATAAAACTTTTTTTCCATTTGTACCATAGGAATTTAGATACATTGACTGAAAGAATGAAAAACCTTTTGACATACATTGAATTTCTTTCCCACGTTAAACTAATTTAATCTACAAATGTTGCCTCAGTTCTGTAAAAGAAAATTTATAAAACTGCAGTGGCAGTTATATAGCAAACAATGTATAGCATAATAGCAAACAATTTATTCAAAAAAAATATATTGGTAGGAAACAATATTACACTTTTATATCTTTAAAAAAAAATGCACTTAAATCAAGAAAGAGAGTGAGGCGAATATTTACGTTTGGGCAAATATTTATGTTTCGCCTTAAAATTGGTCAGCAATTAACCTCGCTATGCTATAAACTGAAAAAAGAATATTGGTTTGACCATTCTCTACTCTACGTAGAACTAATAAATTAATTTCTAGTGACAGTTGTCACACACATAAAACTTTTTCAGAATTTTACACATATCATTTTGATACTTTTTATGACTGAAATGCTATATTGTCTTATAAAATGCCCCAAAATTGTGGTACCATTTACATTTCAAACATAAAACTAATTTAGGATGTCCAATCCTTTTTAAGCAAATTATGCAATTGCTGACAAAACAAGCTGAAAATATATCAGAAGTGTAAGAAATAGTTTTTCTATATGTTCCAGGAAGCATATTCGTATTCTTTTTTTTTTATTTGAAAGAATCTTAAAATATGAGAGGAAACTGTCACGCAGAAGAAATGAAACTGGTGACCAAGGCTATAAAATAGATATTTTTTAAATATTTTTAAAATTTTCATGTGTAATATTGAGAAAAAGTTGTCCATACAGATTAAAAAAAATACTTCAAAATAAATATAATACATGAATATTTAAAAGTAAAATATTTTTGCCTCATTATTAATCCTATTCAAAATAAATACAAAGATATATAATTTTTCTAACATTCATAAATTAAAAAAAAAGCAAAAAATTAAGAAATATAAAAATAATTCTATGCAAAAATACCTGTCTTAACTTGCAAATATTAAAAAACAAAAATATGTCAACTTTCAACATCAGCAATAATTGCACTTTAACCTTGAGCATTCATCAATATCACAGTTAATACATCTTAATTTGGTATCAAGACTAACAATAGCTAAATAAACATTTTTTGCAATTTAGCCAAAGACAGAATAGCGTAATTGACTAGTTTTATGACTTTAGAATTGAGACTTAACACAAATCAAGACCAAAAAAAAACAGAAAGTAATTTCTATGAATTAAAAGACAATTGAATTCTAAAAATGAATCATTAAGGCAAATTCATTAGATGAAGTAATGTCTATGTTACTTCAAAAATAACTTAAAATATCTTTTTTATAACAGAAACGAAATATTGATTGACATGTATTAATTAACATTTTGATCTGATTTGACTTGATTTAGATACAATTTTAAACCCTCCCTATCCAAAGATTTACCTGATTTATTTTACTACATACAAATTGGTTTTGATATATCCAAATTTGCACCATAACATAGTTCACTCTTTCTGTATTGATAATTAGAAGAAAATAATGCAACAAAATTATTATTAAAAATATTTTATATCAACTATTTGATAGTCTATAAGTTTGATGAAAAACAAGCTAATATTGTGGCCAATTCCTCATTTAAATAAAAGATGAAAAAAGTATTTAATTTTAATAGCGTAAAATAATATAAAATGAAATTAGACTACTGAGTAATCAGAGACTAGAGTACAGTTGTCTTAAAATAAATTGCAATTTCTATTACTATTTCCCATTTCATTGCTATTACAAGCTGCATCCTGACTGGCATCTTTTGCACTGCCATTTTCCACTTCAGCTTCTTCAAATTCATTTTCATTCTTTCCTACTTTACGATCTGTCTCTTGGAGTCCCCCATCTTCGACTTCTGACTCTGCAACATAAAGCAATTTAAATATTGTATAAAAAAAATTTGAACAAAATTTAAATTAGGAATACTTCAAGAGTATTTCATTTAGACAATGATTCTACACTATGATCTATATCTAATGATTCTCGGAGGGAGCAAATCGTAAAGATTCAGAATTCCAAACCAACATATGAGCCGAAAACTGACATCAAGTGCTGCAAGAGGCACTTGCGAATTATAGACTGGCTGTTTGTGCACATTTGAACCAATAAATCAAATAATCTTAATTTTATTTTATTTTATATTTTTTTAATAAGTATTGCTAAAAACTGCACTCTTAAAGGGCAAGAAATATACATTTTACAGTCATTTACCTATTTGGCAACTGAAATTTTATTAGCACATTTACTTTTAATTTTTAAAACAACTGATCAAGCTTTTTAAATAAGGGAAATGTAATCAAACAAAATATCCATCTTTTGAAAATAAAACTGACTTTACTTGAGATTGGATAGTGGCACACAACTTTATTCAGTATACAGCAATAACTTACACAGTGAACAACTTGAAATTGGTTTACAGAAAGTTAGGCATTTTGTGTATATCAAAGTAAAATACAAAAATAAAAATGTAAGAAGACTATTTTTTTTTAAAGCTTATTTCTTTAATTGCCAAATAATCAAAGTTTTTTAATAGTAATAATTTATTTTCTATATATTCGAATTTCTAATAAATAAAATATTAGTCAAGTGGCTTTGTGTAATGAATTAAAATGCATCACACTAAATTAAGATAACACTAAAATAATTTAAAAGTAATGTTTTAGTGGTAAATATGATAAATAAAAATAAATTCAAACTTCAATATACCTAGCATCCACTTTTTTTTGTATACTTCTTATGCAAGTGTCTTTTCTAATACCCAAATAAAATAATGTAAATATAACTAATTACTCTACCCTGAAATTTTCAACTAAATGCGTAAATACAAGGCTGCATATGAAATCTTAGTAAAGATAACAAAATATAGTCAGGATTAAAATGTACTCAAAGAAAATTTTTTGATATGCAACGAACTCTAACCTTGTACTTCTTTCCAAGTTATCATTGGTTTGCTTTTAAATTGTCATTAGTTTGTTTTCAAGTTGTTATTTGTCAAGTTGTAATATTCAAGTCGTTATTTTGCATTTTAAATCTAACAATAATCGGTAATTTTAATATAGAACTTCTATAGCATTACAAAATGAGCATGAAGATATATTTAAAGTATAAATAAAGATTTACTTCTTACTTTGAAACAGAGTTCATCAAGGTTTATATAAAATTGTACGCATATAAAGAAGGCAAAGAGGTGACAAATACTCTTCTTTACACGAAATTGGATAATAAAGTATTCGGAAAATACCTTGAGAATTAATTTTGGATAATTTAAATATGTGATAAATAAAAAAAGTTATAAATGGAAGATAATAACTTTTGCATGCAACTAGTTTTTTATATTATTTTTACAACCAATAAATTTTAATTTATAGTCCAGTCACCTCAGCAGAAACTGAGAGACACCTTTACAGTTTAAACATACACATTGAAAATCACTGATTTATAGTATTAGTTAACGATATTGCAGTGCTAGATGTCCAAAAAAAAGCTTTTCAGTCCAAATTTATTTAAAGAATCAAAATATATCAAATTATATTAATACAGCAACTCATCAAAATTTTAAAAAAATATGCAAAAGTTCAAAAAAAAATTATACTTGAATTTTTGAAAATGTACCACTTAATAATATATATGTATAAAAATGTATCATTTCATTCATTCTAAAAAGCTTGAAAGAGAAGCTTTGTAATAGAAATTAAAATCTTTCAAATCAGAAATCCTAATAATTGATAAATTGTTAATAAAAATTGGCAATACTTATAACAACATATTCTTTTTTTTATATTTTCCAGATCATTTATATAATAAAATATGTCTTGAATATGTTTGTGTTCTGCAATTAAACAAAACATAGGGTTACCTGGGGTAATTCCTGATCAAAAAATGCAAACATCTATTTTGTGAAAAAACTATTCAAGATAAAATTTTAATATTTATTGGAAGTTTGAGGCTATATGAGATGAGTCCTATGCCACCTTCTTTTGTTTGAAAATCTAATTAGAATTTAAAAGATTTTAAATTTTTAGTGATCAGGAATTACCCCTGGTCTTGATCATTTCTGGGGTAATTCCTGATCACTTCTGGGGTAATTACTGATCACCAGTTTTTATTGTAAAGGGGCTGTTTAAAAATAATTATATAATGGTAATTAACAAATAAGACATCAAGATCAAACAAATAAACCAAAAAGATATGTTTAAGCAGCTAATAAAATGATTTATTTAAAAGCAAGAAGAACGATTAACACTTTAAATTTTCAAAAATCTTTGCATCGTGCCATACATTTTAGGCAATCAGCCAACTCATTCTCATGTTCTTCTGAAATATAAGAGAGTTCCCACATGGGTTACTTTTGCTGGATTTTTTAACTTCATTAAGGGAAAGTGTAAAGTTAAGTAAGGTATGTCAACAGCTCTGGCAGCAGCTCTCACACTGAAATTTTCATTTTCAATCATTAAAAGAAATTCACTAATTTTGCTTTCTAGAAGCTTAGTATCCTTTTTAGGCTTATAATTTCTCACCATATTTATACTAGGCTAATTTATAAACTTAAAAATTATTCTAACAATGTACACACATAAAATTAAGATAGAAGCAAGGTAAGACAAACCAGAAATGGTGCAAATCAGAATACAGTCTTGTATACAGTTAAAAACAAATTTTGTGATGACAGTTAAAATATATTTTATAGTTGTTCCACTTAATAAATATGAACTGTTATTTAAGAAAAGACAATTAGCTATTTATTAGCTATTTTATATACTATTTATAAGAAGAAATGACAATGATCAGGAATTACCCCAGTGATCAATAATTACCCCATCTGTAGGGGGCAACATTTGATATTGTTTCCTATAATCAATTATAATGTTTACAGTAGATATGAAACAATTAAACAAAAGCTAATTCTACTTTTATATCAAAGAAAAAGAAAATAACTCAAAATATATATTATTAAGAGAAGGAAGGGGATCTTTGCAGAAATGTGCACATTTTGAAACCCATCTTTGAAATGGAAAATACAGAAAGCAGTTTAAAAGATACTTATTTTGTTAGATTAAACAAAAAACTATTATTAAGTAAATGTAGTTATACTTTAGTAAAGTGTTCAAGATTTCTTGTCCATGTCTCAAATTAAAAAAAAAAATAATTTTTTAAAAATAAAACTTAGGTGATCATTATTTACCCCAGAAACAGAGTGATCGTGAATTACCCCGGGTCACCCTATATTTAATTTAAAGCTCATAAATTAATTCAATGAAAAAAATCATTACCATTCTTATGAACAAATTTGAGGGACTCCGAGAATATTCAGAACCTGGACTTCCCACCAGGCCCATCTCCCACAAATTCATGACCAAGGCCATTTCCACATTTTCCACAAGAAATCTAAAAATTCAAAATAAAATGTTCAATGCCTTGATTATAGCACTTTAAATTATTTGTTTAAAACATAAGAGACATATTTGATTATATATTATCAGATTATAGCATTAATTATTAGATTATAGCAACAGCACTTTAAAGTAATCAACAATCAGGAATAGGAGTGCCCCTTTTGAAACCAGAAATTTTCAATATTTTGATATTGAGCAACAGATTTTATGGTGCTTAGTAACACATTAGAAACTAATTAGCAATAATTCATAAGAAAATTACTTAAAACCATTCTAAAAGTATAAAGCAAAAATATTTTACTGTTTAAAAACAATTCCTTGAACCTCATCTAATTAGTATTTGAAGAATTTTAATATGTAGTGATAACACTATAAATTACTAGGAAAACAAAGAAATCAGTCACTATATTTGTAAAAAAAAAGTTTAGTTAGTGCAATATTAAATTAAGTTAAAACTATTTTTTTAGTAAAATTATTAAAATTTTTCCCAAATTATTAAATTTCCAGTATACATACAGTCATACAAACAAGATAATCATTTTTTTTCTATTTTTTTTTTGTTCAGTCACTCACCTTTATTTTTAAAATTTTAACTATTTTTAGGTCTTGTGTATATTGCATAAAGATAAGAGAATCTTGATAATACATTTGAGCAAAAGAAGAAAAAATGATAGATTGATGAAATTGTTAGTGCTGAATATAGCACAAAGCAAAAGATGGCAAGGAATTTAAATGCTTAAAAATTACTGGTATTAAAAAGAATACAATGCTTCTAACATAGAGATAAATCAAAACACAAAAATCATTATTAATTTTTTAACAATTACAGATCTTTATAAAATGAAACATAAGAATTTTAAGAACAGAATTTTTAGTTAAATCATTTCCCATATCAATACAATTCCTACTAAATAGGGCAATATGCACCTGAGTCAGTTCAATTTTTTAAATGCTTTGAAATGACATATAAATACAAATCCCATAAAGCACAAATATGCACTTAAATATTTCTTATTTTCACAAAAAATTACAATTATCAATAGCATTAGAAGAAAGAACAAAAAATATTTATCAATTTCCCTTAGAGATTATAACCTCTTAGCAAATAATTTTTTCTTGCAAATATTTTTCCAGTTCATTACAGTTACAGAAATTTCTTAACTGTAATTATCATTGTTTACAGCAGTTTGCAGAGAAATGTGGTTTACAAAATTCAATTATATTGATCTCCTACTGCATTAATTTTATTGTACAAAAGAAAAAAGCAGCAGCAACAGTTAAACAAACTTTAAAAAAAAATAATAATAATAATAATAACAAATAAAATATTTGGACAATGTTAAACTTTTAATTTCAACAACTTAAAGAATACAACAATTTGTTTTTAAACCTTTCCCTAAATTAAATATGTAGTTCGTATTCTAATAAAATAACAAGTAAAAATAATGGCTGGTAAAATAAGAAATA